CCTATTACTCAGCCGGAGCTTCCCTGATCCAACCGCTAGATGGCGCCGCCGCTCTCTATCCTTCTCGCACGGTATATCTTTCTCTCTCGCACAATTTCAGCCGTAGGTGCGAAAGAGAAAGATATACCGTGCGAGAAGAACAGAGAGCACCGATTCAAATGTTGCATCTACCAATCGCCGAAAAACGTTTATAACTATTTAATTTCAATCGAAATCCTATCAACACCGGTTCTTTAATGTTGCTAACGATCTATACTATCTTCCACGAGTACCAAGGTTCATTATTTACACGCAAAAAGTTAATAAACAATAGAACGAAGCGAATATCTCTAACACTCTGAGTTTAAGATATTTATAAACTCTTTTCTATTAATGTTTAATTAGTTCTCCAACTCCATTCCATTGATTGAACATTTAATTGAGACTTTGATTACATCATAAGAAGAAAGGATGAGTTTCTCATTTATTTAATCGAACAGAAACATATAACGGATAATTAATTAACACGGTTGCATTCGTTACAGATAGCTGAGCGGGGATCGTTAAAGTGCAATTATTCATGCGCCACCTCGGAACACAGCAAACTGACATTATGGATCCCTACGTAAGTATACTTCGTTTTAAATTGTTAGAACTCGGTAGAAAGTCGTCGCTATTGGCAGAAAGGGACAATACAAGAACTTTTCGATCGATTAATTCATCTTGCAAGGAAATAGTTGAAGCGAAGTGGAAGCATTAATACAGCGACAGCAATAATACCGAACACACGCTTCGGTGAGTTTTTAATCAAAGATTTCACGGGTATTTGCGAGAACGTTTAAGTCCTATAAACGGAATCCCCAGCTTGAATAGGAAATGATTGAATTCACAGAATCATTAGTTAGGTCATTGTTTACTCCAAATGGAAAATATCCATTTCCAAAGAATACATTCAAAGAATCCAGATCCTCACGGTGTTTCGTCACATAGGAAGCTCCAGGATCCTCAGGGTATATCCATTCCACACACCTCTATTAGTATACAGGGTGGGGCATTTAAGACGGGTCACCTAGATAACTCGTTTATTTTTAAAATTAGAAAAAAATGTTCGAGACGATAACGTGGACCCTTCTGTGCACTCTCATTCTACAGATACCCTAGTTATTATCCAGGAAATTAATTCAGGAGGTGAGGTACGTCCGATTGATCCGTTGGTAAATTTACACCTCGATGAAATCCAAACAGAGTCCTTTCCAGGGCAAATGGTGTCGCTATTGTTCGACGTTCGAAACGATCGAATAAATTTGCCAACAGTACACTGATCGTTTCAATCGCGCGCCTAATAAAGCGAATAGAGGTGGAAGAGGTGAAAGTCTCTAATGCGATCTGGGAATTCAATTCCATTCATTTGTATCGTCAATAATGTAATTGTTCAACGACCTCGAAATATAGTAATTATTCAAATTTTTTAAATATCTCATCCTGTACCATACCACCCCTGACAATTTTAATATTATTGTTCTCCGTTTGAAATTGTTATTTTTGTATTAACGCGATTGAATAGAGATCTCTTCAAGACCAAGAAACGCAATTAAATATTGACGATCATTGAGCCATGAACTTTATGAATATCGATGAATCTTTACGTACCTAGATCGATCAATCTTGATCAATCTTGATGAACATTAAAGATTCGAGAAGTACAATTTTTAATATATTAGTTTCTCGAACCATTCAGATCAGAATAAATAATTCTTCCCTTAAACCCTCGGTACTAATAAAGTCTACTCAATAAAGTTGCGGACCTTATCCTAACTTTCAGCTGAAACAAAAAATTGTAATCATCCATACCCCTGCCAGCTGTTCCTACCCCGTTCTCTACTCCGTGCCTAGCATATTTCGCGCCAGATATTCGTTGCGCAGAGGGTTCGCGTGCAATTAGCCAACCCGTGTCCGAAAAGTCAGACGTCTGTTTTTGATGGGAATCGTAAAGATGAAAGAACAGACTCGAGGCTCTCCTGTCTCAGATTTATTTGGGTCCTTGTGGTCTCAGCTTCCGGCGCACTTGGCCTAGTTCGTCTGTTAGGCTGCGCAGGCTGGCTTTGATACGTTGAAATTGATGTCGCTGGTAGGTTTGTATCAAGAATTCGAGGACAATGACTACTGCCGCCTCAAATAAATTCATTCGATGGCGGACAACGTTGGAATCACTCAGATTTTTAATCATTTCTATTCATTTCTTTGTTCAAAAGTCGGTAGGGATTTTGTTAAACATTTGAACAAGCTTTACTTTTAGCAGATACGAGGCGTTTATTATGAAAGCGATAATGGGACCATCTGTTTTAAAAATAAAGATTTGTACGTAAATAATCCTTAAACGATATGTTGTACGCTCCTTTTTAATAATGTAGTTCGCAAGAGTATAGACATTTAAGAAAACAGCTCATTCGTAGAAAGATAAATACTATCGTAATAATTGATGTGTACACCCTCGGCTATAAGATGCAAAAAATTATTCCCTATTTTTTTAAGATTAAGAAATCAACAGGGAAAGGAAAAATAAAATGAAATGGAAATTTTCTTTAATTGCAAGAGGGATGGATGGAGTAATGGATGGAAAGCTTCGAGTCGTTTAATTTCCAATTAGCATAGATTCTTAGTTGCTTTCAATTCAGGTACTTGTTTCCTTTTGTTAGTCTTTTATGAGATGTTAACGGAGGATCGTCTCACCGTAATCTTCTTTTATAGTCTATAAAAGGTGTTGTACGTGACATCGTTCCACTTCCACGCACGCCTCGTACGGTTCATATTATTGAAATTCTTTGAAGTCTTTCGAAGATTCCTCGGCTTCGTTCGAAGTACTTGGTAAACTTTTTCTATTTGCTGCACGAGGTTTTCAGCATCATTTATTGTCGCAGAATTAGTCGATCGAAATCGTCAATTCATGTTAAATTTATTTTATTTATTTATACGAAGCACGTGAAATTTATTTCCCATGTATTTTAATTTTAATTTTCTACGTCTCCTGCTTTCCTTATTTATTTAAATTCATTCTGCTTATAAAAACGAATCGATCAAATTCCTCGACACTGAAATGTAAAATAAAATTCCAAAAATTAATCGAGTTGTCTTTCGAAAGGCTCAGTTGGCGCACTCACGATAGAAAAATAAACCTTTGTCGTTCTTCTGCATACATTGTGTTGACACAAAGCCGACGACTAAGCTCTGTTGGGTCCGCAGCGAAATTGCATATGGAGTTTCCGTGTTCTCGCTTTTTGCGCGGCGCATTCTGCGGTCTCTTTTGAATCACGTCGATGATCCGAGTCGCGTTCCAAAGTGAAACGGATTGCAGAATTTCAGCGATTTCCGGTTCTATTCGTGACGATTCGAGGTCAGAGAATTCGATAGTCCATCGACCACATTCTCTAAAAATCTGCAAAAAAACATTCTCAGAAAAGGTCTCCTGAAAACGGTTTGCCTCGACCTTTTATTCGATAAAAAATTAATGGAAATTCAATATACTAAACAGAATGGTTTTCTGTTTACGGTAAGAAAAACAATTTTTATAAAAATGTGTGTTTCTGTTACTAAAAATATGGAATACTTCGGAAAAGCTTTGCAATAGATTTATATTCAAAAATTCAATTTTAAAAGAAATTAAAACAATTTCTAAATACTACTTGAAATAGCTTTACGATAATTTGACTCTGTCAGATATCGAGAATTCGTAAAAGAAGTGGGGGGGAGATGGGTCATTTAATTAGAAAAGTTCTGATGTTGATGAATAAACTTGTAAATTGCAATTGGCTTCGGTATTTTTAATCAAGCGTGAAATATATCCCTCGAGAAATGAAACCGTTGAAATGTTAATAAATATTATTTTCATCGCAATGAATCAAAATAAAATGGCTTTCATTCTCTCAACCAGAAAATATAGAGAGAGATTTCAATTATTACGAGACGAAATTGGTTTGAAAATAAACAAAAATATTGACAGGAATGTTTCATCGTTTCAACGTTCGATCGCGTAATAACGTTTATCCTATCGATACTATAAAAAGAATGTTGGTGAATCTCGACGAATGTCGATAAATATTCACGAGTGCTCATAGATGTTGATGAACGTTGATAAATCTTCACGAATGTTGATGAATTTTAATAAACCGTAGAGAAATCTCGAGCATTAGAATAAATATGTTTATGCAATTTTTATTTATTTTTTTAAGATTATTTTTGTATCGTTTCAGGAGAACATTGATTTCAATCATCCGAGCAGCCATCATCTCCAGAGACACATACTGATGAAGAAGGAGAATGAGTGCAACGTAGAAAGGACTTCAGGTGAACGAATGTTTGCATAAAGATTATATAAACAACATCCCCTCTAAACATTTTAACAAATGCACCTCCCAAAAAAGAAATAAAATTGTTGTACGTAAGATCATTAGAGACAATTTCTTTAGTTGAAAATGCCATTATAATTATTCAAAATTTCCTTAAATATTTCGATATTTAATTTAGTCGCATTTATTATTTGTCAATTAATTTCACGCGACGGAATAACATTTTCTTTACACCGAGAGAATAAAAAAGAAAGAAAAGGAAGAGGAGTTTAAATAAAATTCATGGGGAAATAAGAATTTCAGAATATCAACAACAAACATAATATCCTGACACTTTCTGTATACGTCGGCATAAATATTAGATAGAAATATAAAATATCACAAACAGTGCCTGCAGCCAGTAAAATATCCGCTTTATCTCGTATGCGTGAAACTAGAGCATTTTTCATGACATTCAATTTTGATGCATTGGTTTTCGAGGTAAATAATTTTTGTTATACTTCAACCTGAATTTGATACACTATCGAAGTTTACAAAATTATGTAATTATATTACAGCTGTTGTTTTTAAGGGTGAATATTTTTATTCTGTGTCAAACATATATTTTTGTTGCTTGGGATCTTGAAGACATTCCTATTAAATTACGTTGATACAAAAGTAATGATTTTAATGTTGACGAAGGTTGACAAATGCCGATAGATGTCGCACAATTTTGATCAACTTTGGCAAATCATCATAAATCTTGATAAAGGTTTATAAATCCTGATAAATATTCTGCTAAAACATTTTAATTTTCAGAAAAATATTAACGAAATCCTAAGTTTTATGATTTCATTTTTCATAGAGAATTCTTTTTCGAACTTATTTGACTTCGAAAAGGAGGAGGTCACTCGATTCGACATATCTTTCTTTTTTTTTATCCAGAAGCCTGAAATGTAATTAGAAAGCGACGAATCCTGACGGTAGAAATTTTGCTGGATTTCTAGGAAACGTGAAATTCGCCAACTGTTACAATTAACAATCGACACTGGCGCGAAGTTTGCAACTCGAAGCACTTCTACTTTTCTCCACGATTAAATTTAGTTTCGTCGTCCTGTGCCTGGAAAAGGTGGGGAAAGTTTATATCCCAGGCATTTCGTCCAATTAGCGAGCAGGGAATGGATCACAGTCGTATCGTTGTTTGATTATCGACGAGCTTTCGCAAATTCCATGAATTTTCGAATCCTGTGGAAATTCTCTTCGTGTTTCTGAAATTAATATTCCTGGTCACGGCGACATCACGTTCAAATGTGCATTTTTTGTATTCCGTGAATGTAATCGATTATTTTGGTATTTTGTACATTGGAATAGTTTGCAATTATTACAGCAGAACGTGTGAAGTTATGGAATTTCCTATACGACAGAACAATTTTTACCATTTTTAATAATTTTAGAGAACCATTAAGGAATTTCATTTTTAATATTAATAGAATACATCTGTCGATGACATTATCTTTCAGGTTTAACCATTAAGGACTTAACGGCATCTTCTAGGCGACAGTGCCATTTTTGCCATTTTTAATATCTTGTATATTAATAGAATACACCTGTCAACATAATCGTAATAAACGTTTCAACGACACTATCTGTCAGATTTAATTATTAAGAGACATTTGTCACTTACTACTCGACAGTGCCATTTCTACCATTTTTAATATTGTAAATATCAATAGAATTCACCTGTCAACAAAGTGATAATGGACCCTTAAAGGACATCATCCATCAGGTTTAATTATTAAGTGATTATAATATAACTTTTTATGTAACAGGGCCATTTTTACCATTTTTAATCATACATAATGAAGCGATTCCTGCGATCGATCCGCTTTCAGCAGGGGATTTTGGCGATCCTCTAGATAGCCTCCATCCGGGAAGCTCGATATTTATTTTGGAATTATAATGCAAACGTCCAGTATTTTCTCGGAAACGTGGACTCCACTATTTACTAAGGAAATAGAAAGCGTCCAAAAATTTGTAAAATTGGTCGTTAAAATAATTCCAGGAAAATTGACGGACAGAAGAGTGAAAGAATAACCAAAATTCCTATGAATATTGCGAACAAATGAAGATTACTAATAGAAAATTGTAATCGTAATTGTGATTGTAACGTACATGGGATATCAGATATTTTATTTCAGTTTTGTGTGAAAATAATTTTTGTTTTTCTCTTATTGTATTTAATTAATCAAAAATAAGGTCTATTAGAATTAAAGAACAAATTACCGAAGCTTCCTTTGAAAAAGATGAAACGAACATTTCTCCACTTTTCAAACAATATTCTGACGCAAACGTCCAACCACGAGTTCGGCATCTTTTTTTTCGCCTGCCAGAAGGGAGAAGCAGAATTTCTCTGGAAATGCGTTTTAAAGAGGAAGCGAACTTTACCAAAATAAAACAAGTTTGTCGGTTTTTGATGTATAAGGCAATATATTAAATGGCAAAATCTCATTTGCGTTGAATACAAATTAATCCATATGGAGGATATGTCATTTTCAAATAATTCGAATTAAATTTGATTAAATATTCATTGACGTTGGAAATGGATTCTGTATAGCATATATTAATCGACCTTAAAGGTCTTTTGTAAATGTGAAATCATCATCAAACGTGACCAATGATAATTTTCTGAAAGGAATGATCGTGATTGAAAATGAAATGAATAATTTTGATGGATAGGTACTTTAGGATTTCGAAATTCAATAAAACAACTCTAGTGTGCAATTGAATTTCACGAAAGAAAGTGAATTTTCAGTTGGCGTTAAGTCCATTACTTCTCCAACGCAACGGTAGCTGAAAACTGCTGACTAATTGGCCATCCACGCGGCATCGATTTTTCATTAAACGATTAGTATCGAAATATGTGCTCTGTCACGCGATACGCTGTAATTTAATTGTCGCTCCAATTATTATACTAGAGACTTTGTTCTTTTACGGGCCACTAGTACCAGCCACGGTTCCTTGGTGTTGTCTACTGCTAATCTAAATCTAATCTCACTTTACACTTTACACTTATTATATCTACAGATTGTTCAAGAAGTGTTGTTCGTCACGAATGAAAATTTTCAGAAAAATATTAACAAAATCCTCGTTTCCACGATTTTATTCGTTTCTGAGAAGCTTATCAACTTATTTTGTTCTACGTTCTATCGAAGTAAATAAATCGTTTGACAGCGTTGGTTTGGCACAGAATTTCAGCAAGAAATTCAACATAAAAATTCGCGACGTGCAGTTCGTTTCGTTGGCTGTAAATAGTTTCCGCGAGACTTTCCGAGTTCGGAAAAGTAACAGTCACGCATCACCGTCAGACTTTTACACGGCCACGGAAGCGATATTACGTCCTATATTGCCACGGGGTTGCTACGTTTCCGGCACGTGCGGCCTACTTCCGATTTCAGAGCGGAATTACCGAAACGGAATTGCTAGTCTTTCAATTCTTGGTTCGCACGCGTAAAATAGGTTACCATTGTGAAACTAGGCGCCGAGATCGAGTTGGGGACGAATGACTGGTTCGTGAAAAAGAATCCAAAGAAGGTGCTGTGAGAATTATATTTTAGAAAGGTGGAGCAAGTGAGGAAATTATTATAATAAAAGTTGGACATGTTCCATGGACGTGAGTCTTGGTTTTATGAGGCTAATAATTAATTTTGATATTTTTTAAAATCTTGATTCGAACGTTACAGCGATTCGGAAAAAAATATGGCAGGACTCTTTGTTCCTTCCTTTATGAAACCAAAATTTTATACATGTGCGATTGCTGTGGAAACGACTCGTAACAAATTAAATTATGGGCTCTTGATTTCACGAGACTTCGATGCTCTTTGATGCTTTTTAAACATCGTTTCGAATGTTATCCCGATTCGGAATAAATGTTAGTACTTCTCACCCTTTCCTCTATGAAACCTATATTCAAGAAACTTTTGGAGAAGTTTAATAGATAATTGATGTCATTAAACGTGGTGGCTTGCAAGCAGGAACGTTCACCTCTGGCTGTCCCAGAGCACGATAGGTCGCAAAAAGAGAGGCATCGATGCAAAGTGACCGCGTGACTGCATAAGCAAATGCTTAAATGTGATTTCGGCCCGGACACACACGGTCCAGCCTTAATGGATTCCTATTCCTGTAACGCTAGTTCCGAAATCGTGTCAGACATCAAATAGCAGGACCATAATTTTCAACATTAATGCTGGACCAACTCTCCATAATTATAAGAAAATAGTGGGTTTTCCAAAAGTAGCTTCGATAATTTTAATGCAGATTATAACAAAGTGTTTATATTCAATTTTTTATATTATCAGGATTAACATCATTGTATCGTGGTTGGTGATTTATGCTACGTGACAATAAATACAAAATATTTCAGAATTGAATTTATATAATATTAAATAAAATGAATATATTTAATTTTATATAAATTCATGTTTCGTCAGTGCTACAGGATTTATTTACAATATGAGCTAATTTTTAATCAGTTGTCGAAGTTATATAAGTTTATTTCTAATGACCTTTACCGTGTCGAATATATCTCCATGATACTAATTTTTCTTACAAAGATATTTAACCATTTTATTTTAAACGATATATATATATTTAATTTTTAATTTATCTGGTCTAATTTTCCTCGCAACCCTTCCGTGTACTCCTACAGAATAATAATTGTTCAAGAAAGTAAATGATCATAATACGTGTATGCCTAGTTGTGAACACAAGCAAACATTCACAAGGCTGGTGTCCTGTATTTTGGGACACAATACTCTGCTGGAACTCGACGCCACCTGGAGAACTCGCTGTTATGCGCTGTCCACCATACATAGCTGGCTTTGATAGTGAGGTAACGATTAAACTTCAAATGGAACCTCTAGTCTCTCGAAACATTATCTATACAATGCATTTTCAGTATCAACACTTTATCTACCGGGATATTTAGAAGCAGTCTTTAATTCAAAAAAGAATTTTCCACAGTAGCATATGCCAATCTAGGCTGACAACAATTTGTCCATACTGTTACTAGGTAAATTGAAAGCAAAGTCTGTTTCCAAACACCGAACACCGTAAGTAGACAGCCATCGACACAGTAAATAAATTCGAATAGCTAAATACCGTGATTAAAAAGCCTACAAATAGGCTCCCGGTAAATAAAGTGTTGAGTTTATAGTAGAATTTTCTGTATGAATTTAAATCACTCCCTCTCAGCCACTTAATTACATTAGTTCGCCAATATCATTTTCTTCACCTTCTCGATCCACATAATCACAATTTTGAATACCGAAAACTTGCAGTTAAATTAACTTGTACGCGCAACAACAGCGTCTCTGTCGCAGTTTCTCGCGTCGACATTAACCAACCGCGGGATTACCCAATAATTCCACAAACACTGGAGGGCTTTTCGATGCTACTACGTCGATGCGAACTATGTCGTTGAAGTTAGAGTCCAGTTAGAGCCCTTCAGGACATAATTGGATATGCACGTTCCGTCGTATTCGAGATATAAATTCTCATCGAGTATGCGTTTCGCAGGCGAATGCATCGAGACAGTGCATGCCTGACGGCCAGTGGTTTTGGAACGACGCTACCAATGCCACGTGGACCAACTACAGTCAGTGTTATCCGGATTCGTTGGTACCCTATGTGATCAAGGATTTCGACAGCGAAGGAGGCAACAATCAAACTTTGACTATGGTGAGTGTTGTTTACGCAAATTTCATAGGTGTCAAAGAAATGTTTAAGGGATATGTTTAGAGTTTTGGAATAATCCAAAAATAAAATAAACGGTATTAGGAAGAGAGGGGTATAATAAACGTGCGTAGTTAATATGAAATAGGAACATGTAAACATAAAGATATTTTGTTACACGAATTGTGTTAATAATTATGTAAATGTTTCACAATAAATACAAATACAAGTACAAGTATAATTGAAAACTGTCGACACAGCAGATATTCAAACAGCAGAATTCAAAGAAACTCGAATCGTGTCCTTATCCGACTATTAGTTCCTAAAATAACTAATTGGATACCGATTCCTCTCAATTTTACGTTTCAACTTGCTCACAGGAAAATAATTCCTCGCCCTGAAAAACATTCCATGGAAAATACTCCTGAAAAGATAATAACATTCCTACGTGAAACTGTTGGAAATCGATAGGAATCATACCAGTGACGTCGATCCTTTTAAACAGGAAGCCCCTTCTGGCGCTAATTAGACGTACACCACCGCTATTTTCTCCATGTTTATCTACCCTCTCGTTACCATTAACGCCGTCTTCGTCTGTCCTTCGCTTCGCCCTGCGAGCTTGTCACAAGTTGCAGACGTAAAATAAAATCGAATCCCCCAACAAACTTCTAAAAGCCCTGTACTGAAAATAACAGAATGACAGCGGACGTTGAAAGCGGACCATTAAGGTTCTTCTTCGTGTTTTCTCCCCACGGAAATGTTTCCACGAAATTAACTTTTCAGGGAGAGAGATTGAATTACAATTAAAGAGATTGAAAGTTCCCAGACGCGGTTACCAGTTTCTGATGTCCGTCATTTCACGAAACGATTATGCCAGCGCACAATTAACCTTTCGGAAAATGGAAAATAATTGGATTGGACAAATTTTTGTTGCAGAGATTCTTGCCGATACTGAAGACCGTCTCAACGGTCGGTTACACCGTTTCCTTTTTCACTTTGGTGGTGGCGTTCTTCATTTTGGCACTGATCAAGTAAGTATCAGCCAAAGATTGACGTCCGAAGAGCTGCGCACACCTAGGATTAACAAACGTGGACCTTGTGGATTTTTTTTTAAACGATAGTTTATAATTTTATTCATCAATTCTGTGAGTATTCGTTTGATGAGGTTGTAACGTGTGAAAAGAATACAATTGCACGAAGTGTATCATTTTATTTCGAAAGTGGGAGCATCTGGATTGAGCAAGTGATGTGATGAATAATTATGAATTAAAACTGAAATATTACGTATTTGGTATTGAAAAGTGGGTTCGTACGAAAAGGGCCCCATCGGGATTCGACATTAAATCATACCACAACCTACTAGTAATTTATTTATTTCACTTATTATTAAGTATCAGTTGCTCGATATCACATGTATAGAGTGGAGCATTGAAATATTCGCAAATAGAAGCAAAATACCAACTACATATTTTAAATTTACAAATGAAATCCTCTAGATACTCCAATTCAAAGATAACCTCGTGCAAATAGAAATTACGCTGAAAAAATCAATAATTTCCACTTGAGTGTGTGCAGCTCCTTAAAATTAAATTTCCGATTCCTCTATCTGTCCCAGCGAGAATTTTCCGCAGCGAAATGCATTGCCGCTCGTGCAGCAAAGATTCCTGTTCGCTGTCTGCTCGTCAGCTCGTCCGCTTAAACAAAATTTCGTCCTGGTCAGCGTGCAATCTTTTCAAAAAATTCTGTGTACGTGTCCCTTGTCGTCTCACCCGTTCCCGCCGCGACAAATCTGTCCGTCGACGTCTCGAATCGTCGAAACTTCGGCTCACTACTCCAAGTTTCTCCCGAATTGGACGTAGGAAATTGCGATGTCCCCGAAACGTCCTCCATATGCACCTGTTCGCCTCGTTCATGCTGAGAGCGTTCATGGCTCTGATAAAGGGCTTCTTGTTCGTGTCTGGGATCGGCCTGGCGACGGATATGACGTTCAAGGATGGTAAAAACTATTGGCTGGGAGATGAGAACAACGGTAGTTGGCTGTGCAAGGCGTTCACCAGCTTGTGGCAGTATTTTATACTCGCCAATTACTTTTGGATACTGATGGAGGGACTATTTCTGCATAATTTGGTGTTTTTCGCGCTGTTCACCTACGCCAACTCCAATATTACTATCTACGTGTGTCTTGGATGGGGTGAGTTGATAGATATGGAATTTAAATAGGAGTTAAGGAGGATTAAGGGATGTACGTTCGATGTTGGATGTTGGATAAGGTGTTTTGAGTATTGGGGTGTTGGGTATTTGGTAGAAGATATTTGGTACAAGATGTATTGCAGTTGGAACGTTAAATGAGTATTATGTTTTGGATATTCAGTTTTAAATACTGGATATTTGATATTTTTGACAGAATATCGAGTATCGATTATTAAGCGAAGCAGTGAATGTCGGAAGTTAGAATATTAAATATTTGATTATTGTTAATTGGATACTTGGTTCGAGTACTTAATGATATATACTATGTACATTTTATTATTGAGTACTCAGAAGTTAGATCTCGCTTTCTTTAAACTTCTTTGAATCTTACCACCGTTCGTTTTACAGAAAAGTAAGCACCACAGTTGAACCTTTATTACGTTAGCTATCACCCCAAGCAAACGAAATTAGTAATAGAGTTTCACTGGGTCTGATTCACAGGCCTGCCAGCAATATTCGTGTCTTGTTGGATCGTGATGAGAGTCATACTCGAGGATAACTACTGTTGGACCACTCACGAGAACCGTAATCTGTTTCTCATTATTCGAGTGCCTACAATGTTGTCTGTTCTGGTAAGACTGCTTAGGATTATGTTTCCAATCATCGTACTGTAGCAATATATCGGGTGTTGGTTATTGGATATCCATTATTATCTATTGAATTTTGACTATTAGTGGTTCCATACTGAATTTCAGGTATTTAGCCTCGTGCATGTAGCCTCGAGTATCAGAAATTGAATATTAATTATTGAAAATTGGGGTTTGATTATCAAATTTTAAATATTATAGCTCGGATATTGGGTATTCCATAGTCGATAATTAGTGTTAAAAATTGGATACCGAGTTTTCATCATTAGAAATAGAATATTGAATATTCCTTCTTTTAAATCATTAAAAAAGATTAAGAAAGAGAATTAAAAAATAAATACGTCGCTATATTGTTACAAAATAATTTTTATAAATATTAGTCATTTTGTGATTAACATACTAACGTATATTAAAAAAAAAATCATGTCAAGTCTATTGCAACTAGTGCAAATTAAATAAACATTTCCGAAATAAAATTATCCTCATTTCTAATTTCTAAATTTCCCATTTCTAAGACACTTAACGAAACAAGAAATGCAAAACAGTTCTACTGCAATTTATCTGTTATGGTTTGCGAATCGCCACAGATCAATTTCGTGTTCTTCGTGAACATAGTGAGGGTTCTCCTACTGAAGTTGAGATCGACGGTATCCGAGGAAACTCAACGATACAAGTAAGCTTCGTTTTCCTCCCTAACGACTATATTAATCACCCTGACGTATTTAATCCGACCTTGAATAGTTCCTGGAAATTATATCCTCCATACATCCCACCACCGCTTAAGCAGCTCACGAGAAACTTGCGAACGATTTCAGGAGATGGGCGAAGAGCACTCTGGTCTTGGTGCCCCTCTTCGGGGTGCATTACACCGTTTTCTTGGGGATGTCTTACAGCATGGGCGTTAACGAGACTGTTGAGGTCGCCTGGTTATTCTGTGATCAATTATTTGCGTCGTTCCAGGTACTTCATTTTATTACACCTTTCTTGAGCCCACTCTTGATAACGAGTTCCCTCCATCTTGGTATTTAATTAATTTCTTAACTTTTCCTTATGTTTCCTTTATCTATACCATTCTTTCTAAAGCGATGTAGCCGTAGAAAAATTTATTTATTTAAGAATTGAAGAAAGTTCATGCAGCGAGCGTTGGACAAATTTAGGCCGGAGGAAATATCGTTCAAAATAAACTTCTTTTCAATGTTTCACTATGATGTCATAGAACATTAAACACCGTTAAATTTTGTATTTAACATTTTTTCAATATCTCTCATGCTTTCAGAGATATCACCAAAAATATAACCAGAATTATTTCCAAGGGTTGCTTCCACCCTTAAAACCATTTTCATTACAAAATGGAAAAGCCCGCTGTAACTATATCCCCAGGAACTTTATTTCCGTATAAATTCAAGTTTTTTCGAATCTGTATCAATTACTGAACATTTCACAAAATTAATTTCTACACCGAATAATTGCATTTTATTTTCACCAGGGTTTCTTCGTGGCCGTTTTATACTGTTTCCTGAATGGCGAGGTTAGGGCCGAGGTGTCCAGAGCCATCAGGAGCCAACGGCTTCCTCGTTTCCGTCCCAGATGGCTTTCCAGACCGTCGACGTACTCCGGAAGCACGTGCAGTTGCAACGTAGCCAAGATCGACAGACGCTCGAAGAGGCAGCGATGGTGGACGAGCCCTTGGTCCCTTCACGATAGGGATGCTCGACGCTCTACTCACTCGACGGCGAGTACACAAGGTGTCTCCTCTCTATCCTACGAATCCTGTTCTCTGTCTTTTATGCTCGAAACAAGCGTGTCCTGTTGCTGTTCATCTTTGTAACAATGATGTTACGATGAAATAGAGTGATATTACAATTAATTTATTGTAATATTAATATTATAGTAGAGTGTCGGTTTGACCCTTCGACTAGAAATTTTCTCCAATTTCCTCGATATTGGGATCAAAATGAAGGTGTTTATTAAAGGTTGGCGATGGAATGGGATTTTTCAGATATTGGCACGCGAGGAGGTAGTCTAGCGAGCAGTAGAGGCTACCTGGAAATCGCAGGAAACGGACAGAGTGCACTTCCGGGTAACCAAAGTCAACGAAACAGTCATTCGCCACCCCTCTATAGCAAGTACACGGATCAGTCGTTGCTTTCATTCTGCTCTAACGTGAGTTCTTCTTACAACATTTTTCAAGTCTTTTGATCATTATTTTGTTCTGTTGATCGATTTCAATGAAATTTGTAATTAAAGCGCAATTGGAAATGTAGAAAACCCATATTTAGAATTAAACTCCTTCTAATGAACATTGAGGGGTGGTTTCGTCCTCTAAATATGAAAACAGACCAAAATAAACAATAAAAGTAAAATAAAAGTAAAAAAAATATCTCAAATATTTAAACTTTCAAAAAAAAAAATTGAAACATGAACACCAATAGAACTACCTTTGTAAGCGACACAATAATTTCATGTATCTATCTCCCTGTCTAAGTCTACTTCGAATCCAAATTGGGCCTCATTCGAAAAAAATGTTCTACCTCAAATTATCCATGTTTCTTCTTATAAACAATTTTCTATCTTAACCCCCTTGCATTATAATTATTCGCAATCCAAATTTTCTAATTTCGGAAGCTATTTCTATTATTCAAGGATTGAAATTATTCCTCCCAAAAACAAAGTACTTCCGCTTGAGCTGTCATTGTCGTAAAACCTTCAGCACTTCGTTCCTCGAGCCGCTTACTTTTCGGAAAATAAATTTTTCCATTTTCAGCCACCCTGTAAAATTTGAGCGCCTCGAGTGTAATATTTTTCTCGCTCGTAAAACGAGGCGAGTTTTTTTTTTTACGACTTGTAACATCGCGGAACTGGGAGCACCCAGTTATTGGAGTTTTTCAAATAAAATGGAGTTGTCGGGTCGATTGCGTGTCCTTGAAATAAAATGATGGTTCAAGTATGGCTCCTTACAATAACGAAGGTGCGCTTGTCGCGAGATTAAATTCGTGGTCGCTAAATGAGGGACGTAGATTAACTATGGAAATTTGTAGAAGTTTGCAGGCATGCACTTGTGCTATTCTCTAGCGACACTCTCCTGAAATTATTTTGCTACGGTATATAGTATACCATCGTGCTTTTCAATTTATCCAAATTCGTAAGAAATGTAATGAAGTAAATTCTTCGTTGCAGGTCTCAGAACTGACCCCATGCACAGGTATGAATGTTGACAGAGTACGCGACCATCATCGTTGGAGCGACTCAGAGTGTTGTCATTTAGCTTACGAGCTGCACAACTTGCACCACGGGCCACCATGAGACTTCATAAACCACCGATATAGATTTAGTACAATCGTTGCATACCAAAGACGAATCACCACCGACTGATCAATGAAATAATTCAAATTTAACACTCTGCGCTCCAGATTGTTTAATTCCAGTGCATTTTTGTAGAGTCACGTTCGACATGGGACTACGAAGGGGAAATGCATATGAACATTTCGTTATTTTTATTGAAAATACACAGACACTGTATAAGAAACTTATATTTTAAACTACATGTGACTTCTGTGTTTTTTGTGTCACTGTGAACTGATGGTACGGCGTGGGTCGAATGTGAGCGTAAGTTTGATCGTTCTGGTCAAGTATTAACTTGTACTTTCTTATTATGTGCCTGAGTAATTTAAACAGTTGTAACTACATTTATATTTTTTGATATCATTATGTTGTACCGTAATGATATTTGGTAATTGATAGGAGAACTTGTGGATATACAACATTAAATTAAGATAAGAGCAAAATATGGAATACAATTTTTTCATTTAAAGCTTAGTTCTCACTAGCACGCTTTAATACCAATTACCAAAATTGTACGTATTTTTAAATTATTGGAATATATGAGGCTAGAGAATGTTTTGGTATGTCAGAGTATGTTTCAGTTTGTATAGAAATAATATATATATATATAGGTATGTATATTTACAATGCAAACGAATTGAAAAAATAAAGGAAAACAATAATGAACTCACTCGTGGAACAGTTAAAGAAAATTAAAATGAAAACATAAATCCATCTGGCTTCCCTAATTTATGTGATAATTAATAATAAAAAATGAAAATTTCCTTTATCTTTTCTATAGGTAATCAGAATCCTAATGGCACCATTTAAACTGCTATTAATTATTCAACTATTACAATTAAATTACTACTAATTAGTAATTAGTGTATGAATAATTAATTAATCTGTACACTCTCTGTAAATTACAACTGATGAATGTTTTTACTATACATATATGTGCGTGTACATGTGAGTCTGTGAATATATATATATATACATATATATATATCTGTCAAGGGAAATAATAAAATTTAAAATACTTTTACATTGTTTTTATTTAAGAAACTAATTATTTCGCAACTGTATCATTTTTACGATACATCTGCTTAAAAGTAAGTATTTACATTATTACTTATGGCATCGTTGCATATTCTAAAATCTCCTAACAATAGCAACAAAGTGATGCAATATTTGATTTCAGACTTTTATAAATATTTTACAGTTATTGCATCAATTTATTTAATTGTTTGGGAATTACAATTTTACTGATTTTGGAAATCTACTCATTTTTATAGGACCTTTGTTTTTCACTTAGACTTGTGGAGGAACAAAATAATTAATGCACAATTTTGGAGACTATTCACTCGTCGAATCAGGAATTATAAGACTTCAAGGTTGTTGTATCGGAATGCATACCTAAAATCGTGACCTGAATCGATCATTCAACAGGCTCGTTTCTGGAGGCTCGCTGGAAAAATAAAGAATAAAATGTTAATTATCGAATGGTAACCTACAGAAAGGAAATATGTGGCAAATTTTAGTTATAAATGAAATAAATAATAAAAGTGAGGTAAGTAGCTTCGTGAAATACAGAAAACCGTTTTCAAAAATAGTTTTTCATGCTACACAGAAAATTATGAAAAATCAGAAAGAAATTACTGGAAAATGCTGGAAAGTTTTCTAGAAAATTCTAAACCTGGAAAATTACTTTAAAATTCTAGGAAAATCTAGAAAATTACTGACAAATTCTGGAAAATCCTCTTACCATCCAGTGACGTTTTCCGCGGCATCGCATGCACGAATGAGGTCGTTGAACGCATTTCCATCGCCGCAATTTTGCAATCGTGGTCGACCATTCACGCAAACATAGTAACGCTGGCAGTCATTTGAACTGCGATAGAATTGTGGTCCATTCAAAAACGTGTCCTCCACATCCGGGCATCGGAAACCTAGATAAGCTATAATGGAAAATGCGCTTTCCCTTAGATATGTAAGCTCAAATTGTAAAATTAAATTGCGTAAGCTTGTGTTAACGTGGATTATCGTAATAGAATTGAGAGTTGTTTTTTTTTCTAAATTTTATGGCGATAGAATTTAGCATGAACACTTACAAGGAATGTTAATAATCAAAAATGGTAAAAATCTAAAAAGAAAGCTTTTTTTTTCTTATTTAAAAAAAAAAAAGTTATTCATCAGCTAGAGAAATGAATGCTTAAGAATGTATTCGATAACTACACACTTTGAAATTTATTTTTGATATAATTGATAAGAAGAATTGCTTTCTTCTTTCACATTTGAATCAAGTATCGTAAAGCATTTCGTTTTCCATATTTAGGAAAACTTTTTCAAATTTTTTAATCGCTTCACATTTTTTCTTTTCTTTTTTTTTTACCTTCAGCGTCACAGTCAGGAACCTGATCGGGCCAGTCGCAGCGGTAGCTTTCAGGGTTGAAAGCCAACCCTTCCGGACAGTCGAATATATAGCCCCTTCCGTCGGCACAGTTCATGAACTGGCCGCAGTGGGTACTGTCTCCGACCTTGAAGTATCCATATTGATGTGGACAATCTTCTGTGGGCTGTGCAGGCTCTGAAATGTCAACAATAAATTGGTGTTGACATATTGGTGCTTAGGAAAAAGACCGAGAAAAGGAAAAGAAAGAAGAAAAGAAAAAGAAAAGGGGAAGAAACGAAAGAAGAAAAGAAAAAGAAAAGGGGAAGAAATGAAAGAAGAAAAGAAAAGATATCGAAGAGAAAGACGAGAATAAAATTGAGATAAAAAAAAGAGAAGAGGACAAAGAAAAGGGTAGAGGAGAAATGAAGAGTAGAAGTGGAAAATAAAGAAGGGAAGAAGAAGAGAGGAAAAGAATTTCTGTCGACGATAAACGCGTCATCGTGAGAATGATAGTGGATAGAAAGGGAATAATCGCAAGGTACTAACGGCGAGATGGTCTGCCAGTGCAGTCGACGTCAATGGGATAACCGCAGGGATAATTGAATCTGGCTTCGGGATTGAAAAGAAGGCCCTCGGGACAAAACTTCTCCTCGGCGATACCGTCGATGCACTCTATGTAGGCGTCGCAGTGAGAAGGAACAGGGAAACGACCGTTCCTCTCTGGGCACGATGCCTGCGAAGTTTGCTGTGTCCTAGAGAGAACCTGATCTAATTGATTAGTTTGTTCAGATCCTGTGAAACGCTGATAGTGGCTCAATGCTGGAACAGAAAGAAAAAGTATTTTCGAAGTATATAAAATTCCTTAAGCGCCGTCTCCTCGGCACTAATTCAAATTCCAGCTTGAAAACAAAGCAAAAGAAAAACAAACGAAGATTAAATTGAAACAATTTGCAACGTTTACAATTCCTTAACCACCGTCTCCTCGACACTAATTCAAATTCCAGCTTAGGCGAAGCCTCCGAAATACCGTAAAGCGAAATGTCATCCCCTCCTAACGTATACAACCCCCTTTCCGACCTGATATTTCGCGATTTGCATTTTTTGAACGACCAAGGTTCAAGCCGTGAATCCCACAAAGCACAGGTGTATTTCGCGATTGGAAACGCCGTTCGGTTGCATAATGCAACACATCGAAGACATAACCGGTCCGCGAGCGTGCACACGCTTCACGACGAAGAGGCTCTCGGAGAAAGTTAGGCGATATGGTTTGACCTCCGCGCAGGCGTCGCGCGCATTAGCATACCCGCCTTTCGAAACGCGTCTGGTTTGTGGCGCGGGCCAGAATGAACGGGTTGTTCGTCATTCCCCCGGTTTCCGGAAGCTATTGCTCGTCCTCAGGCGCTGAGATCATTTTACCGAATTTACGTAAGCGGTTATAAAACGCCTGGTAGATTTCGTTCTCATTGGTGAATTCAATTCATCGAATCGGGATGGCTGCTTGCGATAGGAGAACAGTTGCGGTTTGGAAGTAGGTGTTTGGAAGAAGAATCAGGGTGTTTTGGGTTCGAAAATAACGATTGATCATTTTAGGGCCGACTAAATAAATTGAATTTTCACGGGAAATATCGAGAGAAATAATAATTTTCTTTCAAATTGCGTTGTGACTTTAAGAAGACCGAGAAATATTAAAATAGGCGGATTGTACCAAGACTTGACAATTGCTGTCATTCCTAAACGAATACAGTCACATGGTGCCACGAATCTTAGACAACAGTTCCAATGTCCTATTTTTCTATATTTAAAAACACATTGTTGTAATTATTCAAAATCGATTACTAGGCTCGGCTTTGCTTTCTCTAAATTATAACAATCGAAAAGTTTCGACAGAATTAGCTGTCCCTAAACGATCTAATAGTCCCAAAGATCTAACGATCTCCTTCCAAATTATGACACAACTTTAAAACAAAATCAAGAACCATCAAAGCAAACGAATGCGCTCCAAAAGAAGGTGTCATAACGAACTTTGCTTGCTGGGCCACACTTCGACAAACGTGCCTAAAGTTGTGCAACAGACAAAAATGATCAGGTTTGTTAAAATTCATCGCCAGACGTACCGAGCCTGCACTATTGAAATATTCAGTATTATCAGTGACGTCATTGCGTCACGTTTACGAGACACTTGAGAACAATCGTTATTCTTAATGAAGTGCGTCGTTGAGAATTTTGTTCCATCTTTTCCCATCACGAAATATGCTAGGTGAATAGAAGAGAATAGGTGTGTGGTATATTCAGCAATGGGGAGAATTCTGGTGGACTTTGAAGGTTTCAAGAAAACAAGTTGGATCCTTATTTTGTGATCAGGATGCGATAGGAGACGGTAAGCGTTTTTGTTAGTGGAGTGGAAGAGGGGGAAGGTGGTCCAGGCTCTATCAGAAGGAGAACCCAGATACTAAGCAAGTTTGATGAAATCCTTGAGTGGTTTGGGTGAAGAGGAATGGTAGGAGTGAGACTTGGCAATTGCCTTAGGTAGATAGACTACGTGGACGATGCTCGTGAAATGTTAAGCTGTTTAAATAGATGAAGACTTTGAACTTCATGAGAAGGAACGTTGAACTGAGCCCAAGGAAAAATGGTAGGGAAACTACATAGTAGGAGCCTCAAGGAAACTATAGTCTTCTTTGCTATCAGGAGAACCCCTATATCTCTCTCAAATGAAGGTACCAAAAGCTATCAAAGCTTGAAATGTTCGATGCAATTGCTAAATAATCTAGATAGAAGAAATGAAGAAGAAGAATGTTTCAGAAAAATGAAGACTGAAATTTATGAGGAACGTTCTACTGGGTCCAACAATTTCATTTAATTCCCTGAACAGTACTTTTCACCCCTAAGAATATTTAAATACAAAATCCACTACTAGATCAAAAGGTTTAACGCCGGATATAAAAATTAAAATTCACTAAATTTATTCTCGCTTGAAAATTAAAATCTCCCTGACACCTCGTCTTACCATAAAATTATAATTTATAATAATAATACGAATACACTTTGCTCCTACAGAATAAACCTAACCATCGCCAAAGGATCAAGAGCATCCAGTGATTGATTACTCTGCATACTAAACGCACTAATATTGCTATCCACCATTCTCGTCAGAGATTTCGTAAGGCTCTCTTCGTAAGATTTCTCTTTCACGAAGAAACGATCACTACATCGATTCGTGGATTTACTCACAGGCAGCGACCGCGATCACGCCGCAGGTAATCACCAGACGAACGTTCGTTTTCGAGGACATCTCGGAGCTCGTGGTTGTCCCGCTCCCGAAACCAGCACTACAGTGTCGTCTTCGCTTCCTCGCGAGCTTTTATCATCTCAGGTAACCTCAAGAAGAGGAGAGGAGAGAAGAGACCGTGCACCCACCACCTCGCATTGGGATGAGATTCTGTTGATTGTTTATTTTTTTTTTTTTTTTTTGTGATAAAAAAGGAAAACAGGAAAGGTTCTTGGATGAGGATGTTTGGTAGATTTCTGGAGGAAATTTTGGGATGAAATGGAAGAGAAGGTATATTGTTCAGGGGTTGAGTTGATTAAATTCATTTGTTGACGTGTTTTTAGTTTGTGGAACATAGCTGGTGTTAGGTGTGTTAGCTGGTGTTAAGGGTTATGAATAGCAGATTATTTGAATACATTTTATTTACATGGGATTTGAGAATTTTAGTATAAAATTTATATATATGTAATATTAATATTCAAAATTTTATATTTTATATTAAAATTCTCAATATATATATATATATATATTATATTAGTGCAAAATATTGTACAAAAATAATAACTATTTTGTATATTTGTATTTATATTCAATATTTATCTTTTTATAATGTATGTTTTGTCAAAATATATCTTTATGTATAAATGATCATTCCAATTATTATTTTATCTTTAGAGACATTATTTTAAACAGATTCTCCAAGAGGTATTCGAAAATTGCGGAAGGAAGAAAGAATGTTCGTCGTTGAAGGAAGAGGAGCAAACGGTGACGAAGAAATGGCAGGATGATGCAGGATTTACGCAATATTGAACGAAAGTTCCAGGTCTAGAAAAGAAACGAGAGCCTCGGGCATCGCAGGGACCAGAGCCTTGACATTTTCTTCGATTCTTTCTGCGTCTCGAACGTTCACGGATCTTTTCTCCGTGCGACACAAGAAATGGTTGCGAGTCGACGACCATAAACGAAGGAAAATCAAGTCGATAGCGGGCCTGTAACGATATTTCTATTCACAATGAAATACGAAGGTATTTTATATATAATCCTATCGTGATAATATCAATAAGGTTGTTGGACAAAAAACGAAATATGTGTAGATTAGAATATTTAAAACGTAAAGACTAATTGGAAAAAAAGTAATAAAAGTTTATTACCGGTCAAAATTAGAAGCTGTAATTCTTTTTCTCTGATTTGTTCCTCGAAGCTCCTTCCAAACGATCCTTTGTGTCGATATCCAATCGATTCGATAACGTTGTATCGAATTTCTTTTACGACTGATTCTTTCTGTATCTTAACGAGCTCGAGACATTAAATTCACCTGAATAAAAATCCAAGGCAAAGAGATTATCATTGCTTGATAGTTATGATCATTACCTAAGGAAGTGAATTATTGAACATTAAAAGAAAAACTGAAAGGAGCATGAAATATATTTAAAAAAAATTCAATGTTCTAGAAAATAAACATTCTTGAAAGATTGAAAATTCCGGAAAATCGCAAACAAAAATTATGTGCAGGTTCAGACTTTCATAATGAAAGACTATGGGGTTAGTTTCTGAATAATCACTTTTATTTTTGATCCTTATCAATATTAAACAACGTAGTTACGTAAGGGTATATATATTACATGGAAAATTCTGTCCTTCTGGTGCGCATATATCTCTTCAACATGCGGTTTTCCCGAGAGAAGAAAACAAATCATAAGATATACACCGATCACTTGCACTCTCTCTCATTCTCTCCCTTTTGCTCTGTTTCACTCTCACCTTCTCGCTACTCATACACTCATTCTTTTCGCTACTCTTCATCCCTCGACTAATCCCAAATATCTCGTTTCTAATTTCCAATTCCAAATTTCCCACTTTCTATTTCCTATTTACCTTTTTTTTTCCATGTCCACTTGATGCCTTCAATGAAAGTGTAGACATTTTTGAAAAGTATTTTGTTTTAATGGAACTTTAGTAGATCTTTGTCTCACTGATACGATTGCAGTTGTTTTGCAGAAACAATTGTTTTAGATGACAAGGATTCAAATATAATAAAAGAAGAAGCGAGAAAGCAGCGAAGACAATCACTTAAGATTCATTGACAATAGTATCTGCGTCTTGAACGAAGCGATTAACGTGGTATGAGATATCTAAGGTCCAAGGAGTCTAGTATTCTAGACTCAAGATCCTTCGTCCAAGATCCTAGATCCAAGATCCAAGAACCAGAATCCAAAGTCTAAACTCGAAGGTCCAATAGAAATAGAATGAATAGTTTCAGAGAATGATAATACCATATTACTTATTTGGAACGATACCATTTGAATCATTTCACCACTGATTTCATCTTCCTTATTAACTTTCTACCTCCTCATGTTCCTGAAAAGCGTTCAAGGTTCATCCTGCAGCCACACAATAGGCCATTTCCTTTTATACAAGAATTTGAAATGCTAACCAAAAGAAGCAAATAGCAATACGTCGCGCCAACATTCTATTTTTCGGCCCCATTTTCTTTGATATTTTCCAGTGAGAGGCTCTCGAGACTTCTTCCAAGAAACAACAAAAGAAATCCCTAGCGATCTATCGTTGTGCCATTGAAACGACCAATTAGCAAAGAAGGAATATTGTTTGAAATCTTGAAACGACTCTCAAGGTTTTCCAAAAATATTTCGAAAATTCATCAGAAGTCTGGGGAATTGATAGTCTCCAGGAAGACCCGAGAAGTCTACAAGAAGATATGGATCGAGCTCGATGGAAAATTCGTAGTCAATTCGTTTCTTGGTCGAGGAAAGTCTAGATATGTAATAGGAAAGTCTAGATATGTCAATTTCAGAGAATCGCTTCTGCATTCAAATTCAAAGGGAAGAGACTTTTTCTACGTTGAAGCTAATGTACCAGGGAGTATCATTGTTGAACGTACTTGCATAGAATCCATTTTCTACGGAGGTTTCACTTTTGACATTAAATTAATCCCCGGGACTCGAAGAAGTGTCTTTGATCGCTTCTCTGTATTTTCAAACGTCTTCTTCGTTTGTTATTAACGGGCAAGTGTTTTTTTTTGTTATATACTATGTTAACTTATGGTTTGAACAATTCAATGGATTACTGGGAAATGGAAAATATTGTCACTTAAATTGCCTCAATGGCTTAACATTTGATCTAGCTGCTAACAGTGGATTGGATAAACTGTTAGACAGAGTTGGGGAGTTCAGTTCATTCATTTACGTTTACAGTGTTCCATTTCCCTTTTCCCATTTCTACTTCCCCTTTCCCATTTTCTTTATTTCCACTTCTAATTTTTCATTTTTCCTGTCCCTTTCCTTATTTTCCATTTTACTGATTTCCCCTTTCTCTAGCAGTAGCAATCCATGTCGACGTTACAGGTAGTTAAGATTAATAACTGAAAAGCCTAATGCAGTAGCCTCTATGGATCAATCGATCTCGATCGAACCATCCTCATAAAAAGTATCTCGTCATACGTATGTATAATACATGTATATAATATATAATATATATAATATATATATATATTAGAAAATTTTAACAGACGCGTTAATACTTAAAGATAAATATATAGATCAATCTCGAGCATTCTCTCGCTACATTCTCTCTACAGTCTCACGGATGCCATCCCTGCAAAAGTTGCAGATTGATATGTGAAATAGATCACCGATCGATATGTAGATCTGAGAATAGAAGAAACGGAGAGACGCAAAGTACGTGGGCTGCCACCCCTGGAAGCTGACCTGTCTATTACATTTCCCCTTCGAGAAGTTTCCTATTTCTTTTCTGTCAATATCGGTTCTAGATTTCTTTCCTTATTCCCATTTCCATTTTCCTTTTCCCTCTTCCTATTTCCACGATTTTTTCCGCTTTTCTTATATCCATTTCGCTTTTCCTTAGTCTCTCTCCCCTTTCTCGCTTTCCTTCTTTCCTTTTCCTGCATCTCCTTCCTCTTTCCTTCTTCCCTTTTCCATCTTCGCTTTCCCGTTTTCCTTTTCCCCTTTTCTCTTTCCCAAATCCCATTCAATAAGAAAAATAAATCTATCATACAAACAGTAAGTGTGCAAATACCTGTTTGACTCTCAAATTATCATTTGTTTCACTATTATATTTCCAAACATCCTTCCTGCGTATAACGAAGCCCTAAAATATGTACATACTTCTCTCTCGCAGGCAGCTAATCTCAACGAAATGAAATTTCTGTGCAAGTTTCGTCTAGGTATATACATGTACGATAAATACTAAAAACAATTACACGTAAGGGGCAGTATCGGAACATGATGAACATATATTGGAACATAATTGATTTTCTTCCGGTAATTTGAATCTCGAAGCGACCTCCCGCGGCACCCAAACGTACTTGAGCCCTTCCCAGTGGCGTGAGAAAGCAGGGGACGCTGCAACCCTTAAGCGATCCGTGGAAAGAACCGATGGAACGACCAATGTGGACAAACGATCTTCATTTCCCTTAATCGTTAATCGAGGTAAAGACGCACGCAAGTTTACAGTTAAGCTTAGGTTTAGGATTACAGTACGTTACGCTAAACTTCCTTCTTACGGGAAAGACTAGATTTAGGCAAGTTAAATATATTTTTTCAAGTATTCTTTTTTTTGTAGACTTTTTTTTGATAATTTTCTTCGTTTCCTATCGATCCACTCAGGAACGAAATTTTTCAGTTTCATGCTAGTTCTCTCTCTCTCTCTTACACACACATACACCCACATACGCACACGCACACGCGTTCACTTTTCCCTCTTTACTCTCTCTTTCTCTCTCTTTCTTTTTCTCTCGTGACTAGCGGTACGTTTAAACTTATCTCTTAGCAGTTAAAATGCTCTTTTGGAAAACACAAGTTTCGCCTTATGCTAGGAATGATAATGGTCTCGTCATTCATCCCCCATCTTTCATCCCCTGCAGCTTTTTTTTTTATTAAGCATTCCGTTCTGTGCTTCGACGACTCTGCCTCGTCAACGACGATACCCTCCCCCCCCTTTTTTTTTAATCTCTTTATACAACTAGGATAATAAATATTGCCGCGGAAAATTATTTGCTACATTCGTCCCGAAAACAGTAGTCAACAAGTACGTCCCTGTAGGAGGCTCGCGGATACGCCGTTTTGCTTTGGTTTTAAATTAATTCTCGAGTGCGGGACCGCGACTAGGCACGAGGACACCCTTGAAATTAAATTAACGGTAAGTACGTTAAACGAGTTAAATTAATTATTTGGTCGATAATATTCTTTAGAGAATAGTGTCATCTATTTTAAAAAGTATAAGAATTTTTATAGACGAATATTTCCAATTGCAGAACAAATATTTTTAATTCTTATAATTTCTAAAAACGTTGAATTCTTAAAATTTTTTTTTAATGTTTTACATTTTTTAAATTCATCAAATTCTTTTCTCAATTCTATTTTTAACTCACGTAATTTTTAGTTTCTCAAATTTGAATATGGTACTCATAATTCGACTATCAATGAACAGCTGCAATCTTCAATTTTAATTTATTTAAAAAAGTTTGCAGCACCCTTCAAACGCTTTTGAAAAAAATTCAAAAATCTATTTTACTAGAAACTCCAAAAAAATCCAAAAAAATGTTTTACACTTCAAACAAATAGATAAAGGGTTCTGTTATTGAACCAGGTGTTGAAATGCCTAAGCACGGCCCTGTTCGGAAGAGTAGGTGATCGGCTGAGGATCCTGAAGGTGCATCCCTGGCAATGATCGATCAGGATTGATTGGAAATTGACGTTCTCGTTCGCTGAGAAGCGAAATCTGTCAGGGAAGCTCGGAATTTCGAAGCAGCATTGCCTGATCGATCATCGACCAACATGATGACAATTTTCTATGAAAAAAGGACTCAGTGCGTTTCTGATAGTAATTGACCTCTAAATGAAAGATTATCTGAACAGAATAAATATTCTTGATGGTGGAAAGCAAAATGAGCTTTAAGCTAAATGGAAAGCTACCTGAGCTTTGTGCTAGGTGGATTCCCTTAGAAGGATAGCTTAAAACCTTTCCCATTAACAATCTATAGCTGAAGGTACTAAAGGAACTATGGATCAAATAATATCCAAACACAAGTAATATTATTCATAGTGGAAAGCTACCTGAGTTTTGAGCTAGGTGGATTCCTTTGGAAGGGAAGCTTAAAACCTTCTACCATCAACAATTTAAAGTCGAAGGAACTAAATGAGCTTTCGATCCAATGATGTCCAAACAAAAAAAATTTTCTTGATGGTGGGAAGCTATCTGAGCTTTGAGCTAAATGGAAAGCCACCGGAGCTTTGAGTTAGGTTCCTCAGGAGGCAAGTTTAAGACCTACCACCACCAATAATCTAAAGTTGACGACACTAAAGGAACATTGTATCAAATTATGTTCAAACAACCCGAATTTTTTCGATGGTAGAAAGCTACTTAAGCTTTCAGCTAAATGGAAAGCTACCAGAGCTTTGAGCTAGATGAATTCCTTTACGAAACAAAAACTCTCGACAGTGCTACTTCAAAAACTACCCCAGAGCTTTGAGCTTAGCCACATCAATATTCAACAAAATTATAGGATAAAGGCCTTCAGTATATCAACCTCGCCCTCTCCCAATTTTAAATAATCACCACGCCTCCCAACTGTACCATTCCATAACGGAACATGAAAATCCAAAGAGAAACAGGATGATGAACCCTCCCAAGAATCTCTTTCGAGGGCCCAAGAAGATAGACCACCACTCTACTCTCAAAGAATCCAAACGCAACGTAAGACACCATCTAAAAACTTATCGCCACTGCTCTCCAGTTCTCTACCCAACTAAAAATACAAAACAGTCTCTCGAAGGACCAACGCTACGTCTCATCATCTTTCGATCATGATCCAGAGGCCAGGGCCCACCGCGAGCTCCAAGGGTCATTTATTCGCCGGCGAACATTCGATGCCTGTCAGGCTTGCGTAATAATTTATCTTATATCTTCAAATATATATATTTGTGTGGATTTCGTTCAGCACTCAGTCGTCCCAGGTGGGGAAGTTCCCCTGATCGACGAAGAGTGGCTGGCCAGTAGTTGTGGTTGGCCTTTGGCTAGGTGTCCCACCGAAGTTCGTGCTGCCGAACACAGGCTGACCGAACGCGTCTAGCTGTTGGCCTTCGTAGATGTTGCGATCGGTCGTCGAGTAGGACGACGGATGCTGAGGTTGTTGTCTTTGAGTATCCGTCACTGTCAGCTCTATGTTACCTGCTGTCACGGACTCTTCTTGGGTCTCGGACGCGCTGGCCTCCTCCAAGCTGCTGTGCTTGATGCCGTAGTAGAAGTACATGATGAAGCCTGGAAGGGAAGAAGGGATTAGATTTCGGGGGTTGCTGTGGAAGTTTAGGTGGATGGTGAAGAGGTTGGCTTAAATGATGACGCAGGGACCATGAGGTACTAGATCTCTGCGCACTAGGTCTCTGGTTAATAAATGTTGATAGTGTTAGGTAGTAGCTAAGAGACTCGCAATAAAAGCAGTTTGATTGAAATTTTGTATCTTTGGATCAACTGATAGATCTTAAGTGGAAAGTTAAGGTAAAGCTCGTAGGAAGTTGATCGGATACTTCCTCTTACCAAGTATCATCCACACTGTGAATCTGACGAGAGTCAAGATGCTCAGCTTGAAGATGAGGTATATATTCACGGTGACAGCGATCGCAGGGACGAATGGCAGTCCCGGGGTCATGAACATCATGCTGTTCCTGAAAGATTTCACTGTTCAGATATCCTGTTCATATAATCCATTCTCTAAGCGTTCCGTTTGCAAATGTATGAATTGTTTATTATGGTTACCTGTTTTGTGGCTTTCTACTGATGGCGAGCAACACTCCAATTATGGCGAAGAGGAAAATGAACATTAATAACGTGGTGAATGTTCCCATGTTTCCTGAAAGACGATAACGAATATTGTTCATCGTGATACCTAAGTGATGGTACCAAATAAGCAACTAGCTCACTATTAATTATTATAATATTACTGGTATTAAATATTAAGTATAATAGTATCATAAATTAATATATAAATCAAGTAGTTTGACAACTCACCCATGCCACAAACGATAATCAGATCGAAAATTAGGATCAGAAGGTAGAGAATTCCTACTAGCTTCATGACGTAGCGTCCAGACGCCTCCGTCGCTGGGCCTCGGTCCACCCAAGGGAAAATTGCAGGACATAGGTACTGTGCTGCCTGCAATGCAATATTTTTTTATGAAACTTTTTCCTGTTAATTACAGCAGGAATAAATAATATTGAGTTATTGTCAACATGTTTGCTTCGGGTGATGTTTGAGTTTTATTTAAAAAATTATTGAAAACGACAATTCCAGACGTGGTAGATACATATATTTATTTATGTTTGACAGGGATATACGTCTCTTCTCAGGCGTGAATAATTTGTTCTGTTGCGAACATTTTTTCCCACAATGTTTCTACACAATCTCTTACGTTTTGTGCAGAGTGAAGTATATTAATTATTTTAGGTAAAACTTTTTGCCTTTCGGGGCTTGCATGTACCTGAAGACGGCGCTGAAGATAATTCAATGGCGGCCCTATTATCGGCGTTGTTCCTGGATATTGATGCGCGCTTCCGCAACTGGACGCTGCCGCAGCTGCGTGTACGCTTCCGTAGAATTTATTCTCGGTTCTATCGCTGACCAAATACTGGTCATCCTTCCCCAATCCTACTTCGTCCTCCTCTGCTCCGTAAGTGTCGTCGGAGTCTGGCGAAGAGCTGTTGGCTCTCCTCACTCGTCTCACCTAATATCAGCGTAAAGTCATTCAAACCCTAATAATTACTTATCGATATTTTACAAATTCCAATCACCGAACATTTCAGAACGATATTTATTTAAACCCGATATTGCCATTTTTAAACATAAATAGCGTAATTTAATTTTTCTATAAATAAAATGGAATAAAATTGAGAATAGAAATTTAAAGAAAGAAATTTGTGATACAATAACTGACATTAAAGTTCGCAGATACAATTTATAAAATGAAACGTTTTAGGGATTATGATTAGAGGGACATCCCACCATGATACGTTGGCCATTGTTGGCCGCTGCAAGCTCCGATTGCGACGCTTGGACAGTGTTCAGAGCAGTGGTCAATTGATCAGGTCGAAGCTCCTTGCCGTAGGTCACTTGACCGTTTCCCTGAGTTTCTTTCGTTGGCGTTCGACAAGGCGTCTTCAGGCTCTGCGGTAGGAGCTCCACCAGGTTCGTGGTGTGCGGCTGGTAGCGCAGGATCAGCACGCAGGTGGACACCAGGGTGTAGGCCAGCAGGGTACCTGAACATTCCGGTAAAATTTAGTCAAAATTCCTAACAATTCATTTGATTTATCTGGCGGACAACGATTTCAATTATGGCAAAGAAGAAAGTGCACTGACCGATGGACATCATTTCCACCAGGACCTCGAGCTGGATCAGCAGGGCGGCCATTGCTGCACACAAACCGGAAGTGAGTGTCGCCAGGGCTGGAGTGCCCGTTGCTGGCCACACTTGGGCCAGACTCCTGAATAACAAAACAGATATTTAAAAATTAACAATTATATTCGATTAACAATTCATCCGATTGAGTGATTGAGTGTTCCGATTGATTCTTTTAATTTCGTTACTACGTATGATGTACGTGTGTATTTATGGAATATTCGTTGTGTTGTAATATACAGGGTGTTCCATTTAAGGTGACCACCTGAAATATTTTCGTTGCCTTAAACAATATAAACAAAATTGTTCCTATAAAAACCTTTCAGTGTCAAAAGAGCAATATTATCGTCTGCGTAACAAATATTTCAAGGGCATATTTTCCAAATGTCAACAATAGCTTTTTTAAATAGGATGAGGTACTTTCATTATTATAATATCGTTGCTAATAAAAAGACAAATTTAAGTGTTATCCCTTTTCCTACTGCTATATTATTGTTTATATCGGTTACCTAAATATAAGGCCATCCTGGGCCATGGCGTAGACTATCCTAGGCATGGGGAACATGGTGCCGAACATGGAAACCGTCAATCCAGCCAGAGCACCAACCGCGACGATGTATTTGCATTTGTAGGCTCCAACCTGGCCAAACATCTCCACCAATGCTGAATCGTGATCCACTTCATCGTATGGAACTGAGAGGGAAATAATTTAATCGTCAACTGATCCTCCTTCAGCTTGATACTGTTAGTAAATGACTGGCAGGACATTGTTGAAGGGAATAATTGAAGAAGAATAATCAAAGGGGATCTGTTGATATAGACCCGAAGAGAATTGATCTCATTATCAATTGGCTCTTCTCCAGCTTCATAATTGGCTGGTATTAGAATTTTCTGAGCGAAGTCAATCATTGCCACTGGTACAATTCAGAAGATTCTTCAAGGAAATAATTGAAGAAAAATAGTCAAAGGGGATCTTTTGATATGGACCTGAAGAGAATTGATTTCAATTCAATTTGCATTGTTTTGTTATTTTTTTAATTCTTGCAAGTCTTGGCTTCTGGAAGAAATTGTTTATTTTTATTTTGTACAAGTGAGCACAGATTGAAGGAGAGCACCTTGGCGTTATTTAAAAGCATAACGAACCGTACAGTGTCTGTGACAAGGGTACGAGGATGATCACTATGACGTAGAAGGGTGACCAGGGACGCGTGAAGACAGGTCAGGGACGGCCAAGGACCTTCTGCACGTCAGACAACACACGTCAGGGGAAATAATCGATCGAAAAGGCACTGATTAACGATTCATAATTAATTACACGTAATTATCAGTCATTGTGTTCCAAGTATTGACTCGGAAACATCGTTAATCATATTAATGATATACAATTCTAATAAAAGTAACATCGAATGCGTGTGATAAATTTACATTGTTTCTTTCTTTTCGTAATTCATTACTATAGTAATAAACAAACGTAATTGTACACTATTATCAATGAAATTGACGACAAAATGATTTCACTAATGAAGAGGATGTATGATAAAAAAAATTAAAATAAGAAATGAAATTAATAAAAATATAATTCCAATAAAAATAATAACTTTGAATGATCAACTCGTACTATTCTTCTTTTTTTTGTAATTCAATAATATACCGATACAAATTCTGATTATACGTAAAATCGATGAAACTAATGAAAACTGATTTGGTCTCGTCAAGATGAAAAAAGAAAAATATATAAATTGAACCGAGCACAATAGAAGTGTGAGTAACATAAAGGATCGTAACTCAATTTGTGTTTCAACAAGCATCGCTCACCAATCAGCGTCAACATCATGCTGCTGGTGACGTAAGCGATGAGAATTATGAACAACGACGAGACTATCGCGAGGGGGATGCTCCTCTTGGGGTTGGTCGCCTCCTCGCCGGTGGTTGCTATTATGTCAAAGCCGATGAACGCGTAAAAACACGTCGCCGCACCGGTGAACACCTGGAATAAACGATACCTCATCGATTAGGATTCCTCGTTGAACTGTGCCCTTGAACTGGCCAACTACACGTGCAGGCATCATCGTCGATACGCTTAAGTATCGATAAAACACATTTATTTATTTTACTTCATCCCTGATATGATATAATAGTTTACAGTTTATTATTCATGTCTTTTCTTTAAATGTATGCATACATATGCATACATATACATATACAGGGTGGCCTACGTAACTCTTAACGGCTCGATACCTTACTTTAAGTAAGTAAATCATTATTTTAAATAGGCATTAATAATATTTAAAATATTGAAAACAAATAACTAACGGATGCAATCAGATGAACCGAGACAGTCTTTCAATGTCTTGAAAACACTTGTAGAGAAAATATTATTAATTTATTGTAATAACTCCCCTACAAGTATGTCTTTATTAAATAAAATAATATTATCGATAAAAAAAATGTATCTTCGTATGATCTTCCTAAAAGAAGAAACAGAGCTTCTTAATTTTAGTTTCACACTTTTCCCGTAGAAGTAAATCATTATAATAATATCGATAAAAGAAATTTATCTTCACAAGATCTTCCCACGAAACGTTCAAAGGCTCCTGATTTATGCTTCTCATTTTTCCCAATTGAATTAAAATTAGGAAGTGCGTTCTCTGGAAAGTTAAATTCCGAATGGATTAAAAAAAACGGACAGAGTAGATTTTCCATTTCGGACAAAGGCACGTCCCTGGAGCAAGAACTACCTGAAATGGTCGTCGTACCAAATGTACTTTCTTCTCCCTCCTTCCTATTTAATTTTTCAAGGCCCCTTAACGCTGTTATGAATATCTGATGCCCTCCGTTTCCGTCCAGCCGAAAGACGGAAGCTTGGAGTGGAGACTTAAAGTAATACTTCAACGAGACTCCAGAACGTGGGGAATCGCGTTTCTATAAAAGTAAAGGACAGGAGAAACGAAAATTGCAACGACCTGTGGAACAGGATTAAAGTAGAGGCACGGTGAAGATTTTTTGAAAACTTTCGGGGGTCGTGTTGAATTTTTATTTCTCAATTTTACATTTTTCAACTATTCTTTTTTTTTTTTTTTTTTTTTTTAAATCGTTTGCATCCCAGAACCGAGAAAATAATTACACTCTCGGTACAAAGATTTCAAACATTTGAAGAATTAAAATGAATTGCACCGAGACCCGTTTGTCAGGGTAAGGGTCGGAGGAAACGAAAAGCTGAGATTGCTGAATCGAATTGAGGGTCACAGAAGGTGGTGTTCTACGTCGGCATTGGAAACGAGATAAAAGGAAAACCGCCCTTAAATTTTAGCGGTGGTGCTCGACGTCCTCTTAAAAGGAAAAAAAAGTGAATGGTGGGAGATTGCAGCGTGACCCTGTAGTATTTCGCTACCGCAGGTCATGAACGCCTCTGCGTTCGCTGCCCACGCACCCCCCACGTAAAACCACAGCAGAATGAATACGCTCGTCAAAGGCCACTGGCGCTGCCCCGTCTCCTCGAACCATTCACTATAAATTGCCTTTTATTCAGAAGTGAAAACACGGGATGGAAATCACCAATTGCTTCAACGATGAACGTCATTTGGCGAGAGAAAAACGAGTGAGGCGAACGTTCGGAATTAAATTTATCCTTTAGAAGAACATTGCTGACTGTGTATATTAGGGGGTGGTTTTTATTTTAATTACTTTTACGTGTTATGCATACTCTAAGTACTTTGCGAATACATCAAGAATATTCCTGCAAAATTTTAGCGCATTATTTAACGTCAACGAATTCGATACAGTCTTCGAAAGTTTCGAAAGGAATTCAACACTTAATAATTATTTACCAATCAGTTAAAAATTATTGAATTATGTCAACGTAGCAGGCTAACGTCAACTCCTTGGTCTCCTGGTTATGGCGGTTCTAACCACAACTACGATCCCCAGTGAATAATACGTATTGTCACGTTGAGAAAATAGACATAAATAAGTGTAGTAGTATAATTATAATCAAGCATAGTTCATTAATATACCTTTGGATCGAAGTAAATATTATTTTATTTCGTCCACAATGTTATTTTTATTCAAAGGACCTTCCTACCGTTCTGCCTTGCTCTTCATTATTATTTATACATTTTTTTTACGCTATCTGTATCGTACTTTCTCAAACAAATTATGAATACATATATACAGGGGTGGGAGTCAGTGGGTTTTCACGATTATTTATCAATTTTCCTATTCGTTCTGTGTATATATACTTGAAATTACATGGAAACACTTAAATGTTTGTTTACTTTTAGTTAAAGATAACAAGGAAGGAAACGATGGAACTCGCGAAATCAATGAGTTATTTCTTCCCATGGAACAATATTATTGTTAGAGGAAGCAGACAGTTTTCTACCAAACCTTTGTTATTTTACGACGACTATTAACTGTGTCGACGATTTTTAAGTTGCATTGAACATCGTATGTGATTGAAATTTTCTGCCACATTTATCTCAAAAGTTAAAGATGGTAGTAGGCTATTGCTTATCAGGCGTATTTACGAAACGTTCAGAATTCTGTCTATATTGATCGCAGAGAAGACAACGGGGGTGGAAAATGCCATAAAAGTCCTGCAAGAAGGCACAAACGAGGCGTTTAACCTCTGACCGTCATCCATAACGTTTTCTTCTTCGCTATACCTGTCAAACATGATCCCAAGTCTCAAGATATATTTCCCAAGGTGTCTCGACCAACTTTCCAGGTAAAAATAACCAATTTATTTTTATAATAATCTGGAATATCGAACTCTTCCGAGAGTAGGATTAATATAAGAGAATATCAAATTTTTTTTAGTAAATATAAAAATATAAACCACAATTAAACTTTCCGAAATTACTTCAAATTATTAAAATTTTCTCTAATGTGTAATTAATTGGCCTCCTAAAGTATTAATTATGCCTCCTCGAGATCTTTCGAACTAGGTCATCTGAAAGTTTGTTCCTAAGCATAAGACTTGCCCGAAAGAGGGTTGTTTTCCAAGCAACAGGGTGTCCTGCATCACGCTCTGCTTCTGTGCGATGGAAAAGCACCGAGGTTATGAAAAATTTAAGCACTGCGAACATGTAAGACCACTTCCGTGGAAATATTTATGCCACTTGGTCGATAAACACGCGACCAGGAGTTGTGGACGAAAGGGAAACGAGCATGCGAATAAATTAGGAGACGACTGACTGATGTTTCCCGATTAAAAATTAAAAGAATGTGAAATATTCTAGCAGCACCGAGATCAAACGAGGAGGAAAAGTTAAATTTCTGAAGTTCCGTTGAATTATTGAGCCTTAAAATATTTAGTTTCTTTCAATTTTCATCACTTTTCCTCAATTTTCTTGAGAGTCCGTCAATTTCTTTCAATTTTTTAGTTTTCTTTAATTTCTCTCAATTTTCATTCAGTTTTCATTTGTTTCTCTAAGTTGACATCAGTTTTCTTTATTTGTCCACAATTTTTATAAGGATGGTTCAGTTATTTCGTCTTATTGGAATCTAACAGCTATTTTCCGATACAACCCTTCAAACACAATGGAACTTCAACAGTTCTTCGCATTTATATCCTCGCTACAGGCAAATCATTAATTACATCTTCGAAACATCTTCTAAACCATCCACTATCAACACAAAAATGGTACATCGACCCATTCTACTGTTGCTCGCAAAAATCCCACCCCTCCAGGCAACGTCTCGCTCTAATTCCACCCATGTCGGCGCCGCGGAGCTCGGATTCCTGCGGAGAGTGAATTCGAATTCCGTTTCCCTCCCCTCTGTCCACCTGATGCACCTCGGTTTCGACGTTGAAGCCCATCCGGTGCAACAAGTCCGCCATTGTCCCGTCGGACCCGCAAAACCGCGAGCAGAAAGCTGCGCTAGAGGGTTGAACACAGAGAACGAGGAAAATGTCACCGCGACGAAACGGAATGTCTCTTTGGTTTTCTCTTTCAAAATTCTCTGTTCAGATTTTTCCTTCCTCTGTCGGTAGCTCGTTGTTCATGGAGGATGGAGTGAAATTATAGGGCTCGGCTGGGTAAGGAAACTAATTAAATTTGTGAATTGGCAAGAGTGACTGACAAGAGGGATTATATAATTATTCGGTATTAGATGATTCAATTACGTATCGATCGGAGAAATCATATAGGGTTGTTTAACTGATCGGAGGGATGGTATAAGGGTCACTACCTGATCAGACAACTGTTTATTTAATAATTGGTACTTACACCGCTCCAGTCGTAGGGAAGAAAGCCCCTGTGCTCGGACCAGTTGTCACTGTCCACGTAAAACATTCCCGCCGTCATGATAAACACCCAGACCGAGAGGTTGATGACGTTCAACACGTTATTGAACATGAGGGATTTTCTGACGCCCGCGGCCATCAGCAGCATCATCAGTATGGTGATGACGAACGCCAGGAAATCGGGTGGTCGACCTGAATCAGAAAAGAAACATTTCATGCTTCAGAAAATGATGTCCTGTATACATAAACGTATATCTGATCAGACACGGACTACAGCGTTGCTACCTAATTGATAGAACGAAGGCAGAGTAATTGAAATAAGATCTCACGTAACAATGAAAGTGTAGGGTTCGAGACCCGACGCTAAGAATAAAGTCAAACATGTTTGTTATACTAACTTTTATATGAATACAACTTACTTGTAAAGAATTTTTGTATATATCGTTAAGTACCTAATGAATATTTTATATTACTCGTTGCAACATCGAAACATTATTAAATGTAAATATCAAGTAGTTAACTAAATTAAATTTGTTATTCTTCTAACATGTTTCAAATTCACTCATTGTGTGTATTAATATCGCAGCCACCACTGAGTAATATCTTAATTTAAATTTGCACAAGATAAGTACATAAATCGAATCTGTTTTTCCCCATAACAGTTGACATAGCAGGGAGTGTAACCGATCCGTGTCGCTAAACACGAATGCCCACGAAAAGTGTCACCCGCGGCGAGCGTGTGTTAACAAAACGGAACGTTCCCTCTAATATTTGCCTCTGATTTTCCTATTAAAATTCTGTCCAGTACATCAGGAAGCGGAAGCGATATAAATCATCTCCCAGCTTCTGTCTACGAATGGTATTTACATTTATTTATAATGTCGCGGGGGAACGTACATCCAGGTTCCAACATTTCTGACGTGGAATGTGGTTTCACTAACTGGGGTCGACTTCAGGTTCTGTTCCTGTTAGATTTTGGTACTTTTCGAAGAATAGTAGCTCAATGTCTGAAGTCAAGGTTACACAAATCGATGCCGTTGTCAATTTTCTATAGAGATATTAAATATTAGATTATATTACATGGGAAATGATAGAATAATAGATGATGGAATGGTAAAATGATAAAATAGACAATTCATAAAATGGTAAAGTGATAGAAAATGATAAAATGGTAGAATGTTAGAATTACAGGATGATAGAATGGTAGATTGATAAAACGATAATATAAAGAAACAATTTATAAGAACAATATAATTTATTACATACTTGTAGATACAGACAACTTCGTATATCCGGGTATAAATGTCTTTCGTATACACGAGCAGAAATTATTTCACATATCAAACGCAAAAATTGCATCACGTATCCTTGTAGAATCTATGTCAGTTCATAATCCTCAATAATTCAATAATAATTAGCCAAATCACCAATTCATGCACCAATGAAAAGTCTCGTGTCGAAAATTACCCGCTTTACCAATCCGCCCCCAAAACTTCTACATTTGGTGACATAAAATATGCATGAGAGTAAAATATTCAAGTGTAATCCACAAAAACAGAAAACAGACGGTGGATATCTTCTCGGCACGGAGACACGAATGAAACATAGCTCCTGCTGAACACGTTAAAATATGGGCCGAAGTTTCATCGTTCCCACGGCGGTCTTCGACGCGCGAAATAAAACAGCATAAATTTGGCGACTCTTTCACGACAGCCGTGGATGTCTCGTTAGTCGTCGAAAATGAACAAAATTGGGTTTCGTTAATTAACGCTCTCGACGACCATTTTTTTTTTTTTTTTTTTTTTTTAGTGGGATCGATTCTGGAGCCTGGTATCAAATTTGAACGTATCGACGATGAAAACAAAAAATGTTTCGTAAAATATTGCCACGATCGATTGGGCCGTGCGTCAAAGGACGACTGTGCTCGAAACTTTCAAACGGATGGGTCCAGTCGGAACGAGTTGACGCTTTCAGGGGCTGCGGGTACTCGCGAGGGCTGAATTTATTGGTTCGCTGATTGTGGTGAACTTCCACCAGCGAATGTGCGCCACGGGTCAATAATTACATGTTTATTTATTATGACGCGAACGAATTAGGAGAAATAAATGGACGGGGTTTAATTAATGTAGAAATAATTCGATATAATTTTAGTGTGTCAACGGCTAAAATTTTGTTAGTATAATATCAACGAAATGGAATTGAATTAACGCAGACATAGATTGATGGAATTTCATTATAAAATGTATAGAAACGATTCGATAGAATGTAATTAATAACAAATGTACACCGCAAGTCTTTGAATGAAATTTTATTTATTGTGAAAGCGACTAAATCGTATCTATTTTCAACGTAATTATTAGTTATAATTTTAGTATGTTATTCGTTAAAATTCTTTTCTATAACGCGAACGAGATTATAGAAATAAATAAATGGAATTTAATTAATCTACAGGCACTTGACGAACGAACGTTTGAAATTAGTATCGATAAAAAAAAACTGTTCTTTGAAGTACGTTTCCAATAGAACACATGATACAAGTTATTATAAGAGACAAAGCTGAAAAAGAATTCGCGGTGCAAAGGATTAATGATACGTTTCGTGGTATCGATATGTTTCCACTAGCAGTTCCCAGGTAAATCCAACGTTTTTCTTTGTTCCCTCGTAGCGCGATTGATCGTCCACGACGTTTTATTTATTTCAACCTCCTCCACCCCATGTCTATGATACCTCACCGAGCACGGTTTTGCGTCTATTTCCCAGATATGGATTTTACTGCATTCCATTTCACGTTCGTTTCGCTGGCTGCCGCTCGCCCGTTCACCTGTTTCAGGAACGTTCTGACGGTCTGCCAGCCAGCACAAAGTGTTTCTCATTCGGGATTTTATTACTATTTTTCCACTGCGAGATATTCATTATTTTTTTTTGTTTCACCGAAAAAGAAAACAGTAGATTCGACTGCTTTCATAGCGACACGTCTTTCGAATCACGTTTAAAGCTCACGGTTAGATATTGGGATATTTTTTGAAAATGGCGGAACTTTCGATTGAAATGTTTATAGAATGCGAGATAAATTATTAATAAATGTTAGTTAAATTTATTATGTTGTAAAAGATATATAATATAAATATGGTGTATTAATAAAATTATGTGAACCATATTATAGTTTTTAAGATATTATAGAAAATACATAATATAATGGGAATATAGTGTATCAATAAAGTTAAATGTATCATATTATGATTCTCCTGTATTTTTCTATAAACTAATTCAATAGACATATATTTTAATCAATCTAATCCTATGTGACTATCATTTTTCCAATTGAAATTTTGTATACATAAATAAATATACATATGTATATAGCCTAACAAAAATACCCTAACATACATAATGAGTTATTATCTTGATTATACATAGCAACTCTATGTTCAGTTGAACCAGCTATCGTGCTCTAGGAGGAGAATGAATGGACTGCTAAATAATGCAATCAACTCGCCTAATTACATGGCAGTGTGTTGGTGTAGCCCAGGTGTCCTGATCCATGAGCTAAATAATTGGACCGCAAGAGTCAGGTCAGTTAGCCTGATCAATGAACTGAAAAACTAGGTCACAGTGTCAAACCAGTTGCTCTGACCTATGAGGAAAGTAACTGGTCCAACGGGTCAGACCAGTTGACCTAATGCATACGTGGAATACAATTGTCATAAAAATTCTGTTCTTGTGCGACACATGTTTTATTATATTTGGTTATTGTGTAAATTAATTGAATTATATTAAATGGAAAATAATTTTTATATTTATGTATATTTGAAGTTGTATTATAAATGATCGTTGATTTTCAATCAAAATTTCATGCAGGTAAATTTAAATATAGACGAGCAATTTTATAAAATGAATTTATGTAAAATGTACTATTCGAAGAATAAAATAAATTAAAAAACTCATTTTTGTTAAATCGAATTTTCACTTTGATGGAAAATTTTCTATATGTTTTTCGAAGTGTACTATGAGATCTACTGCGAAAAAAAGTTTCAATCAAAAATGCTCGTTATTAAGAATGTCACGAATTTTTAAAAATCAGACAATTCTTTGTATGATTTTTCCCCCAAAAAGAATTGAAGAAAAATAGACTGTTTTAATAGTTCGATATTCTCGAATTGGCCTCGTCAGGATCCGTCGATGCGCCGCGAAGTGAGATGTGTACGTATTACCACTCGTCAGACAGCTTTTTGGGATCGATGGGGCGATCAACCGTCCAATTGTGAAATCCATCAACGTGACCGTCGATGGTTCGACCATCCCCATGCCAGAGAAGCAACAGATGGTCGCGATGCGGCAGGAAGATATTAAAATGATTTTAGGAGGACCTGGAGGCGTTAAGGAGTCGAGTGGAGGACGAGGAGTTGCGAGGTAAAGGGGTTCCTCCAGGGAAATTACGAGGAAAAGGTAACGTGGACATGGGTAGGATTGAGAAGGTGGAAATAAGGGAAGTGGAGGTCTTGAGAATTTCTGATGAAGTGGTGAAAGGTTGTGGATGAAGGAACGAGAGAATATTAAAATCAGGAGGGCTTAAATAAGGCTCAGAACTTCAGGGACATTAAGAGGAAAATGTAACATGACTATCGGAAGGATTAGGAATTTAAAAATAAGGGAACTGATGGTTCTGCCCACTTACAAGTGATGAAAGTTAAGAAAAGGACGAGAGAATACTGAAATCAAGTGGATGTATTGACTCAACTGAGGTCTAGAATCCTCTTGGAATTAGTGAGGCTCTAGCTCATAGAAAAGGGCTCTTAATTCTATTAGTGGAAGTCTATACAACTCTAGTCATCAACATTGTTTAGAATGATTCATTTACTACTGCTGGAGGTTAGTACAACCCTAGGAGGACTAACTTGGACTAGTGGCGCCAGTAGTAGGCGTCATGGGGCGCTTGTGGGGCCACAGGTAGCCGTGGCAGGTACTAGTGACGTCACAGCTAGGTATAAAGGGTACTAATGACGTCACAAGTAGTAGTAGTAGCGCTTATAGTGGCGCCACAGTTAGTGTAAGGTCCGCACGTAACGCTATGGTGTCATTAGTCCATGTCGTGACTACTGTGACCAACTATGGCACCATTAATCGGCGCCGTGGCACCAATGGCACCATAGTTAGTGTAAGGTCCACTTGTAGCGTTCGAGAGTTCCCAAAAC